ATTTTGTTCGTCCTGAGGTACCTGCAACCATCATTACCCGAACAACTATCCCTGGGTAGAGAATGGCAAATATGGATTAATGTCTTACCAGAGGACGTTAGTATCTGGCTGGGATTCGAACCCTTAACCCTATAGGATTGAGAGTTAAGTGAATGAACTATACCATGACACCATTGTAACAAAACTAAACATAACAAATTCTTTTACTACTATGTCACAACCCATCTCTTATTAGTAAAATGCCCTTCTCGAATTGAGATATGCTACTTTGATTCTGATAACGAAGCTAATATCAGAAACGAGATACGTTAGGTCTGTAACCGAAATGTGTACTTACTACTGAAGCCATGTTAGAAGGTTCGTTGAGTCGAATGCTTTGAATCTAGTGAAGTATCGGAGAATGATGAGTGAATGATGAAACAAATCATTTAACCTCCTTTTATAGGATCTAAAAAAAATTGAATTTGTGATGAGGGCGGGTCAATTCATGCAAATTCAGACAAACTTTTTTATGAAAACAATTTACCTTTGGTTAATTAAACTGTAATCTCCTATTTCATTATCAACTAATTTAAACTGTCATTTTGTTTTTCATTAGTAAACAGCTAAACTGTCATTTCACAATTCAAACCACCGATTAATCATGAAGCAATGACAGCTGAAGGATATACAAAATAATAACCATATCCAGCTATTGAAAATCATAACGAATAATTATTGATGTTCTACGAACACAAGAATCCCTAGATTGGCACGGTAATTGGTTCATCGATTTCGTCAACACTGTCATATTAAGACATTGTCTGATCAGTTATACGTAATAGCTATCATTGAAGGTGAAATGATATTGAATACATGTAATTAACTGTTGTACATAGCGACCAACGTTTTTTTAAGGAAAAGATATCAACCTAAATGAACATATGATATTTATGATACTAATAATTATAATAATAATAATAATTATCTTAATAATAATATGTATTATCATAACAAATAATGATAATGATAAAACAAAATTAACAATAATACTAAAAATGAAAAAATAATAATTAAGGTAGTGATAAATGATGGTTTTGAAAATTATAATAATGATCAGCAAAGCCTTGGCGGGGGGGGGGGCACTCATTTGTACAATCAAGCAGGGAAATTAACAGTGAAAATGTGTGATTACTTCCAGTGATAGTTTAAAGTATATAAATACATGGTTTACTTAATGATGATAATTAAGAATAAAACTTTAAACTCTTTTTGAAGCATTTATTATGACAAATTGTTTATTTTCGGGAGTAAAATAGTAAACATAACGTGCAAACCAGAACATTTTGGGTTTTCGGGTATCATGTGAAAAGTGTAAAGCTCTACCCACAGCTGTAACTGACGAAATAAGTGGGATAAAAAAAAAGGAATTACAAATAATTAAAAAAAGAGGAATTAAAGATTCAAGTATGTTAAATTATCTTGTTCTTGTTATTTATAGAAGAAAACTGTGGATGGATTATTATTTAACACTTTAATTCCGGCAGCGACGGTTCTGGTTTCCATGAGTACATTTGTTCTGCCAACCAATGATCCCTTTGACAGCTTGGCAGTGTTTTTACTTTACAGGTGTTTATAACATCTACTGTGCCAAATCAAATGACAACTAATTCGTTTAGTGATTTTCCAAATTTGTTTACTATCACCATCGTCCGCCATATTTCGATTAACTGTCACGTGCAATTAAATCTATTTACGACTTATTTGAACGAAATGTTCGCTCAAAGGTTCGTTCAATTTAGCACAGACGTACTTTTTGGTGGAGACTGTTATTCAAACTATACTTCAGTCATTTAATATAGAGTTTCGAGCATGGGATTTTACCTCTTTTTTCATCCAAATTCATTCTGTCTAGTGTGTGTGCCAATATTCGTTCAAATTCGACGGTAATTGTCGAAAGGTGAACTCGGGCATTCGAGCTCTCGAATGGGCAGTCAATTTCGTAACATGTTCATTCAAAGTAAGATTAAGATGTTGTTTATGTAGGCCCTATCATTTTTCAAATTTCTGAAAATTAAAAAATGTAGATTCATTTTGTTACATTGTCGATATCAGATGCACTTTCGACAAAGCAGGCTTAAGGAAGGCTTTTATATGTTATGTTTCCCCGTTTTTCTTCACTTCTCATACTGTAATAGCTACGTTAGATCAATTGCCTCAAAATTCTCCTCCCTCTAATTAAATCAAACAAAACTGACCCTTTTGGGGGCAAGAATTGACGCTCATGGTGGGCGACATTCGAGGATGGAAATTTGTCTTGATGTTTTTCACGGGGTGCACGGCAAAGTATCAGTCGTGTATACATGTAGCAAATTTTATGAGTTTCTTGTTATCATGTTTATGTCACTTGATAAAATCTGAGTGTGTTTTTTGTAATGAACTTATTAAAATAATAATGAAATAAGACTTTATCCAAGAGAAATAAAATGAATAAATCGATCAATACATTGAAAACAGCATAACATTTCCAAGACCAAAATCGTTATTATTACTTTCATGTTTTAATACTCAATTTATTTCAATAATTATCGTTTTGCTTTCCACCCGGGAGTATAAAAATATGACTTTAAATAAAGAAAATTGACTTCAAAATTAGGTTTAACATCAAGTCAAACTTTCTGGAAATTTCCTCTTTTTTTAAAAGGATTGTCTAATCATCATCGTTGTGCTTAGTTATGCCTCCTCAGGGATGCCAGTTAGAATTGATCAGAAGGCCTGAAAAACATACAATGAGCTATTTTGTACCCTTAAAAAAACACCCGAACTATGGCCTGATCATAAATTACCAGGGCCTGAATTCAGGCTTTTGCCTGAAAACTGCCGTCCCTGCCTTCTCTATTCTTCAAATTAAAATTAAAATTGATTAATTCCCATGTAAAAATTTATAATACAAACGTAACATTCGATTTCTGCCTACATTGTCACATCCTCAGTTAACATAAAACATTTGTATAATATTGTTTTGTTATAGCTTGCCTTTCTTCTAAGATAGATATTGATCACCCCCTCTCTCTCTCTCTCTCTCTCTCCCACCCACTCTTTCTCTATTTATCTCCCTCTGTACGTTTGTCTCTCCACACTCTCTATGTATGTCTGTCTCTCTGGCTCTTTTTGTCTCTCTCTCTCTCTCTCTCTCTCTTTGTATCTGGTTGAACGACAGACGATCCGCGTAACACTGACCTCATCATGAATACAACGTTGGACCAAACACTACACCTTACCCTAACCTTAACCCTAACCCTAAACCCAATAGCAACCCTAGCCATAAGTTACCCTATCTTTGAAGAAAAAAGTCAGGGCAGTTTTGTTGTGCTCATGTTTTTATTGGACGTCAAAAACAGAAACATGCAGCACAAGGAAAACAAATAATGATATACAATTGTCGCCAGAGCGTCGGAGCGCATCCTCATCATTTCTCTCTCTTTCATGATACCACCTCTTCTCTCTCTCTCTCTCTCTCTCTCTTTCACACACACACTCCCTCTCTCTCTATCTATCTCTCTCACACTCGCTCTGTCTCTTTCTTTCTCTAGCTCTCCCCTCTCTCCTGTTCTCTCTCTTTCTATCTCGCTCTTACCCTCCCCTCTCTCTCTATTGTCCTTACCATCTCCCCTTCTCTTCTTACCTGTCTCCTCTTCCTTTTTTTCTTTAACGACCCTCTCCTATCGCTTCGTTGTCTTTTCTCTAGTTTTGTCCCATATCATTGCATGCTTCAATCCTCTCTTCCAAATCATTCTGCCATATCGGCCTGGTCGTAGCACAACTAAAGTCTTGACGATTAGAAAGGATATATTTACGACAGTTCTTTCCTTTGGTTAGAATTTTATTTAACAAGAATTAGTATGCCCTCATATTAGTCAAAGACTTTAGTTTACCAGTTTGCTGTTATTAACAAGTTATTAAAATCAAACCAAATCAAGAAAGAACAAAATTAGTATGTTCATCAAAATAAAAAACAATATTATCTGCCATCAACTTATAATACAAATAGTACCTATTCAGAACAGGACACTACTCTGTATAAAGCATGTTGTAAGTACGCAAATCTAATTTGTATAAAGAACAAACTAAAGTCAACACAGATTGTAAATTAGCCAGAAAAGAATTTGAAATTAACTGTAATAGATTACGATTAGTATTAAAGTATTAGATCATACATAGATACCAGATATATATCAAAGATTGGTGAACCATAGAACGATTAATTCGAAAATCCTAATTTGGGTCTGAGAAAATGAAATGATCCTAAATACTAAATAATCTACACAAAAAAAAATAATATTGATGTAAGTAAATTCAAGTTTTAAATACCTCATAGATGCCTATTATAAATGTAAGATAAGGAGGAATAAGTTTATCATTTTAGTTTGCTAGGAGCTGTTTATCTCTTTGTTTTATATTACATGAGAATTAAGAATTTAGAATTGTATTGACTCTTTGACCCCCTCTCGGGGTACAGGAGTACAAACAAACATTAAAGTATAAAAAGCAATGCATACAATTCTTATACATTATACATAGATAATGACACATAGGTACAAACGATAATAGGTATATAGGGGGTGAAAGTACTAACGTGAACAATGTAACCAACTAGTAAATACAATACATACATTGTAGATAGTAACAATTGATAATAGAATGTATAAGTATAATGCAGTCTATTTACAAGCTAAAGAGTAAACAAAGAAGGCTATAGCAACACAGATGTTAATATACCAATCACGGATGATGAAGGCTTAGCTTGAATTAAATTAAAAACACTATTAGGAAACTTTAATATCTATTTTGATGAGGGCAGTCCCGAGGGCAGTACATTATGTAGGCATCTAATCATCTCAAAATGGCGGAATTAATAAGCCTAAATTATTGCTTAATTATAAATACGTAAAATTAAATAAAAATGAATAACAATAAATTAAACTTCAGATAACTACTAGGTGCATAGGAATGATCTCTAATCTTCTTCAAAGACGATATTTGGCGATGGCTTTCTTAGTCTGTTTCACTAGACTCAACGGATGATTCAGCAGAGGCAGAGACAGAGGAAGAACGTCTAAAACGAGCTATATGGGGTGATAAAAACACATAAATTATGAGATACTGTAATCTATTTTACGACTCACAACATGTACGATGAATAAAATCAATCCGGCAGATTGTTTGATGAAGTGACATATGAGCAAAAAGTTTTCGACATTTTTTCCCCGCGACAATTATTGCTCCTAGATGAATCGAATTCATAAAGAAATTATACCACTCCCCCTCCCCAATAAAAATAGTTACTTCAGTGATGTTCCTTACCTGAAGCAGGACACGAGACAACTCGGATGCAAACGCTCTCCAAGATCTCACAAGCATCGGCAAAGTTTGTTTCACCTTCCTCTTCCAAACACACCTGATTATTATCGGCGGAATTCAGCAAAGCCTGCTCATCAGCAGTCACTAGCCCGGGAAGTTTTTCTTCACAGTCGTTCATCACCGTTCTGTATCTATCACAGAGGGCTTGAAACTCCGAAGTGCGATCGATGGTTTGGGCTAAGATTAGGAGAAAGTGATGTGAAGTTAGCGATCACGATGAGACTTTAAGCAAAATAAAATGTTGTTTATAACCTGATCTCCAATACTACCTCTTTTGAATTAATTTTTGTTTTAGATCCACGTACAACGACTGAATATTCAATTGAGATTAAATATACAGTCACAAATTATATGAAATGTTTGCAAATCATCCCTCAATCATGTCAATTCATGGACATGATATTTGAATCGCACTACCCCCCCCCCCGACAAAAACCATAAATAAATAATTTTTAAAATCGTTAATCATTAACATGAATAGCAATACCAATTTAATCGTTTGAATTCATATCAAAAGTAACTTGGTGTCACCTTACATATTCACTGTGAGACGGAATATTTGATGAAATATGACTTCTGTCATAACCATAAAAAATTATTGCACTCCATCCTCAAAAAAATATTTGTTATATTGAAATGTATTATTTCCATGTAGAATACATTTCACACTTTCCCATGAATGACGTTTGTACGCGAAGAGGCCCAAGTAGTATTATTTATTTCATCTTCGTTCTAAACTCATAATAAATCATGATAACATTTTAATAATAAGCGTTCCTACCTTTGATTTCCAGTGTAACAAATGCAATGAGGCACAGGCAAAGGGACAGAGTTTTTACCTGGAAAAAAAGAAAGAGCCGCGTCAAAATCAGTGATTGGTCTCGGATACATTCCGGGAGTATTTATCACTGCAACAAAGTGGTAAAGCATTAAACAAAAAAGTTCAATGTAATCCACAGAGAATGTATTGCTTGCATGAAGATTTCATCTGTGCAAATAGGCAAAATAAGAAAACATCAGAATCTCCAAAACAATTTCGAAGTTTGCCGAGAGATTGTATATATAATTTCACACCTCCGTTTACCCAAGGAAACCTCATCAGTATCGATGCTGTTCTTCCTGAATTGCCTGCAATCATTATTACCCCAGCAACTCCTGATATGGTTTAATGTCTTGCCATATCATAAGTATCTGGCTGGGATTCGAACCCTTAACCCTAGGATTGAGAGTTTAGTGAATGAACTATACCATGACACCATTGTAACAAAACTAAATATAACAAATTGTTTTATTTCTATGTCACATCCCATTTATTAAGTATTAAGATATACTAGTTTGATATTGATAATGAAGCTAGAAGCTAATATCAGAAACGAGATACGTTAGGTCTGTAATGGAAAATTGTACTTACTACTGAAGCCATGTTAGAAGGTTCGTTGACCCGAATGCTTTGAATCTAGTGAAGTATCGAAGAATAATGAGTGAATGATGAAACAAATCATTTAACCTCCTTTTATAGGATCTTTAAACGATAACATTTGTGATGAGGGCGGGTCAATTCATGCAAATTGAGACAAAGTTTTTTATGAAAACAATTTACCTTTGGCTAATTAAACTGTAATCTCCTATTTCATTATCAACTAACTTAAACTGTCATTTTGTATTTCATTAGTAAACAGCTAACTGTCATTTCACAATTCAAACCACCGATTAATCACGAAGCAATGACAGCTGAAGGATATATAAAATGATAACCATATTCAGCTATTGAAATTCATAACGAATAATTAAGGATGTTCTACAAACACAAGAATCCCTATATTGGCACGGTAATTGCTTCACCGATTTCGTCAACACTGTCATATTACGACATTGTCTGATCAGTTATACGTAATAGCTGTCATTGAAGGTGAAATGATATTGAATACATGTAATTAACTGTTGTACATAGCAAACAAGGTTTTTGTAAGGGAAAAATATCAACCTAAATGAAACATATTATGATATTGATAATAATATTAATAAGTATAATGAATGATGAAACAAACCATTTAACCTCCTTTTATAGGATCTAAACAATAACATTTGTGATGAGGGCGGGTCAATTCATGCAAATTGAGACAAATTTTTCCATGAAACCAATTTATCTTTGGTTAATTAAACTGTAATTTCGAATTTCATTATCAACTAATTTAAACTATCATTTTGTATTTCATTGGTAAACAGCTTAACTGTCATTTCACAATTCAAACCACCGATTAATAATGAAGCAATGACAGCTGAAGGATATAAGGCGATGATAATAACCATATTTAGCTATTGACGTTCATAATGAATAATTAAAGGTGAAATTCAAAGAAGATCACAATTATGTCAACTAATGTATCACTAGAAACTGGTAAGCTAACAGATGGCCATCGGACAAGTTTTAGGTCAACTACATATCGGGTGATTTATAAAAAATACAATAGCAGCTGGGATATACGAGAGATTCGCCGGAAAAATAACGATGTTTTAATGACGTCACTATATGGACCAACACTACCCAAGCAGACGACATCCCATAGAGAATGAACATAATTGCAAAGCTATTATTTCTTAAATTATAATGAGTTTAGTGTATATAAATGTAAGGCATGTCAAACCATTCAAAAGGGGATATGACCCGATTCTGATAACTAAAATCTTTTGCTTGTAAATACACAGGATAGGGGTTAATTAACAATCAAAGAAACCAGACTTTCAAATTGAAAAGCCCCGGAATGATATTAAGGACGGCATTTGTTCCCTCTTGAAACGCCGAACATACCCCGGTGTGTGCAGCTGAATATACAATGGCGTCTTTTTTTGTTTACAAGCGACAGATTCCTTTATTTTTGTATCGCTGCATTTGTCATCGAAATAAAACCATGCGCGGGGTTTAGAGTGAGGCCATAGATTATACATTTAGCCTGACGGTAGTGAAGTAAGAGAAAGAAGTCAAGAGAAGATGAAAACACAGGCACTAAAAATGTGTGAGATGTCATGGGACATCGTCTGCTTGTGCAAGTCATGTCCATACTGTGATCTCACATATGTCAGCAGCGTTCGGAGAGCTCTTCAGGTGCTATTCCGGGGCTGTATTTAAGCGTTTTGTATTAAATTTATAATAATAATTGCTTCGAATGTTTCCAAGCATTGGATTTTGATAACCTTGTCGAATCAAAGTTTCAACTTTGCAATAATGAAAATAAAGTTATTAGTTTTTAAAATCAATGAATATCTACTTTAAGGATGTTCTACAAACACAAGAATCCTTGATTGGCACGGTACTTGCTTCACCGATTTTGTCAACACTGTTATATTATAACATTGTCTGATCAGTTATACGTAGTAGCTACCATTGAAGGTGAGGTGATATAGAGTACATGTAATTAACTGTTGTACATAGCAACCAATGTTTTTTGTAAGTAAAAAATATCAACCTAAATGAAACATATGATAATATTGATGATAATAATAATAAGTATAATAATAATAATATTTATTGTCATAACAAATAATGATAATAATAAAAACAATAATAACAATAATATTTATTGTCATGACAAATAATGATAATAATAAAAACAATAATAACAATAATACTAAATATGAAAATAATAATAATAACAGTAGTGAAAAATAGAGATTTTGAACATTATTATGATGGACATGAAATAAAACGTGGTTTATTTCGGGGGGACAATCAGTTCTACAATAAAGCTGGGAAATTAACAGTGAAAATTTCTGATTACTTCCAATGATAGTTTAAATGATATAAATACATTGTTTACTTAATGATGATATTTGAGAATAAAACTTTAAACTCTTTTTGAAGCATTTAATATGACAAATTGGTTATTGTCGGGAGTAAAATGGTAATCATAACGTGCCAACAAGAACATTTCGGGTTTTGGGGTATCATGTGAAACGTGTAAGTCTCTACCCTCAGCTGAATCTGATGAAATAAGTGGGATTTTAAAAAAGGGGGAAATAAAGATTAAAGTTTTTCAAATTATCTTGTATATGTTATTAATATTATAAACTGCGAATGAATATGTTATTATCTTTGACTTTAATTCCAGCGGCAACGGTTCTGCCTTCCATAATTACATCTATTCCGCCAATCAATTGTCTTTTTGACAGCTCGGCAGTGGTTTTATTTTACATGTGTTTATAAACTCCACCGGTCCAAAACAAATGAAAACTAATCTGTTTGGTAATTTTCCTAGTTTGTTTTAAGATCGTCTGCCATATTTCAATTAACTGTCACGTGTAATTAAATTTATTTCCGATATTTTTTAACAAAGGTTCGCTCAAAGGTTCGTCTAATTTAGCACAGACGTCATTTTTGGCGGAGACTGTCATTCAAACTATACTTCAGTCATTCAATAAAGAGTCTCGTGAATGGGGTTTTACACTTTCATCATTCAAATGAATTCCGTCTAGCACGTGAGCCAAGAATCAATCAAACTCGCCGGCAATTATTGTTGGAAGATGGATTCGGGCATTCGAGTTCGCGTATTGGCAGTCAATTTCGTATAACATATATAACAATTACTTTGGATGTTGTTTTTGTAGGCCCTTGATGTTTTTTGTTCAATTCCCTGAAAATAAAACTATTTTGATCTATTCCGTTCCAATATCGATATCGGACCATTATATGCTAAATGAAGGCCTTGTAAATGCATTTTGTGTTTCAATATTTCTCCATTCTCACAGCCACATAAGATCAGATGTCTATCCCCCAACAACAAAAAATCAACAACAACAAAATAAAAAAATAAAAACATGCAGAATTTTTTGGGGGAGTAATTGACGTTGTGTTAATGATGGGCGTCATTCGATGGTGAAAATGAACGACAAAGTATCAATTATTAAACCATCGTGTAGATATTTTGTCTACATGTAGCAAATTATGAGTTTTCTATATTCATATTCATGTAACTTGATGAAATCAGAGGGTATTTTTAGTAATGAACTTATTCAAATAGCCGGGAAAAAGACTTTATCCAATTGAAATAAAATGAATAAATTAATCAATACATACATACAGCATAACATTTTCAAGACCAAAATCGTTATCATTACTTTCATGTTCATTACTAACTTTATTTAAATAATTATCATTTTGTCTTCTAACCATGAGACTAATTGAAATATGACCTTAAATTAAATATATTGACTTCAAATTAAGTTACAAAAAGTCGATCTTTCTGGAAATATCCTCTTTTGTTAAAGGATGTTCTAATCACCATCGTCGTTCTTATTTATGCCTTTTCTATTCATCAAATGATAATTCAAATCAAATGAATTCGCATGTAAAAATGTATATTACAAATGTAACATTCGACCTCTCGGTACATTTTCACATCCTTAGGCACTATACAATATCTGTATGATATTCTTTTATTTCAGCTTGCATCTCTTCTTTTTTAAGATAGACATTGATACCTCTCTCTCTCTATCATTCTCTCTATCTCTCCCTCCAACCCATTCTCTCTCTCTCTCTCTCTCTCTCTCTCTCGGTATGTCTATCTCTCCCCCTTTCTCTCTCTATCCGGTTGAACGACAGATGCTCCGCGTTACACTGACCTCTTCATATTAAATGCAACGCTGGACCAAACACTACACATGCATTACCCTAACCTTAACCCTAACCCTAACCCTGGACCCAATAGCAACCCTAGCCATAAGTAACCCTATCTTTGAAGAAATAAGCTCAGTACGATTTTGTTGTACTTACGTCTTTATTGCACGTGAAAAACAGAAACATAAACATACAACAGATGGATTAACAAATAGTGATGTACAATTGTCGCCAGAGCGTCGGAGAGCATCTCATTCTTTCTCTCTATTTCATGATACCACATCTTTTCTCTCTATCCCTTTCTCTCTGTCTGTCTATCTCTCTGTGTCTGTCTCTCTCTTCCTATCCCTTCTCTTCTTTTTTTTTTGTGCTCTCTCTCCACTTCTCTTTTACCCTTTATCCAGGCTCTTCCCTCTCTCTCTCCCATTCCTTCTCTTTCTCTCTCTTTCTATCTCGCTCTCCCCACCCCTCTCTCTCTTTTTTTCCACGCCAACTCCCCTTTTCTCCCTACCTCTCTCCTCTCCATTTCTTTCTCTATCGACCCTCTCATATTGCCTTGCTTTTCTATTCTCTAGTTTTGTATCATCTCATTGCATGCTACATTTCCTCTCTTCCAAATCACTCTTCAATATTGGTCGTAGCACAACTACATTCTTAAAGATCAACAAGTAAATATTCAAGACAGTTTTTTCGTTTGGTTAGAATTTTATTTCAAAGAAATAGTATGCCCTTATATCAATCATAGGCTTTAGTTTACAAGTTTCTTGTTATAAATAAGTTATTAAAATCTAATCAATTCAAGAAAGAAAAAAAATAGTATAT